GAGGGAATACAATGGTTCACCCCCACCCGGGGTCCTCCCAGTTGCTGGAAGGTCACGCCCCCATTCCAAGCCTCAAACCACAACACCGAGCTGTGCCCAGAGCCTGTTCTCCACCCTGGGTAGAGCCCATGGGCAGGTCCAGCCCAGGAGCCAGCAGCTGGGTCTTGGCAAGGCTGTTGCTGCTGCTTAGACTGAGGCAAAGCGATGGTGTTGAGGGGCATGGCTTAGAGCTGGAAAGACTTTAGGGTGTGTGAGTGGGCAGGGGTCGTGCCTGGAGTAGACGTGTCCTCCTCCTTCCCCCAGCTATGATGACTATGACTATGGGGAGGTGAACCAGCTCCTGGAGCGCAGCTTGAAGATCTACATCAAGACGGTGGCTTGCTACCCGGAGAAGACAACCAAGCGGACGTACACGCAGTTCTGGAGACACTTCAAGCACTCAGAGAAGGTGCTGCCCCATCCCTTCCCCTTCTGGGAGGGTGCTGGGGGGGTGCTGAGCCCTAACCCTGCTCTCCCTGTGCAGGTACACGTCAACCTGCTGCTGCTGGAGGCTCGGATGCAGGCGGCTCTGCTCTACGCCCTGCGAGCTGTCACCCGCTACATGACCTGACCCACCTCTGCTCCCTCCTCCTCCTCCTGCCCCAGGTTTGGGGGGAAGGCCAGGGGGGAGCTGGCACCCTAAAGACTTGCTGGAATATTGTCTCCCCCTCTTATGGGGCTTGGAGCTGTGGAAAGGAAGCTGGAGCTTCTCTGCCCCTCATCCCTGGAGAGGGGACCCCCAAGAAGCCGTCGGTGCTGGGAAGACCCCGAAGTGCTGCCCCAAACCTGGCAGAGTTTGGGGTGATCGACTGCTCTGAGCTTTTTTCAGGCCCAGATGGAGCCAGAGTTGGGGTGCTCGTGGGGGCTGCCTTTGCCAGGCTGCTGTGACCTCTGGGCCATGTCCCAGCTCCCAGGCTGCTACCACGAGGGACTGGCCCCGTGCCAGAGAGCACCCAAGGGTGCCCTGGGGTTTGCCCTGCTCCCTGGGGGTCTCGTCGTGCTGGACATGCAGCTGCTGGGGGGATGCTCCCCTGGCACCCCCTCCCTACCTCTCTGGCTCATACCCAGGACAGGTACTGCAGGAATTGGGGGGAGGGTCTGGGCAGTCGCCAGTGCCCCTGGTCTTGGAGCTGAGTCTGCCCACGTTGGGGTCTGAAGGGCTGGGGGAGAGGCTGTGGCTTTCGCCCCCCCCCCGCAGGGTTTCCACAACCC